CTTTTTCACAAAAAACAGGAAATATGACTCACATCTTGTATTTCTTTAGATTATGATACTTGCAGGTGTAAGGTATAGTCTCATTTTACCACTGGAGTATGAATGTCTGTGTGAGGAAAGTTGACAAAAAAATGAAGGGAGCCTACAGAGATCATTTTAATCTTATGGGAAGGGCATGTTCTTCCTGAGTTCAAATCTGGCCTCAGACACTTACTAGCTGTCTGACCCTAGGCAAGTCACATAGTACAGTTTGCCTCAGAAGGAAATGGCAAACCACTCCAGTATCTTTGCCAAGAAAACTCCAAATGAGGTCACAAAGAGTCAGACATGACTGAAATGACTCAATAACAACAAAAATGTTTTAGATAATCTTGAAGTCTGGTACAGTAGAAAGAGTGCTGGATTGGGAGGTAGAAGATCTGAGCTTGAAACCTGGCTTTGCCACTGATTGTGTGACTTTAGACAAGTCACTTAACTCCTCTGGGTCTCAATTTCTCCATCTTTAAAATGAAGGCATTAGACCAGATTATAAGGTTTCTTCCAACTAGCTCTGGGAGCCTATGATCTCAAAGATGTTTACAGACCCTATCTAACAATGGGGGGAAAATTATGACTAAACTTCTCTTCCTTTTCTCTGTTAAACTCCTTGAGAAGTTGGTGCCAGCTATTCAATGGAAATTTCTTTCCAAAGTCATCAATGATCTCTTAATTGCCGTATCTCATAGCTTTTTCTCAATCTTATTTTTTGTCTTCTGTGCAGTCTGTGGCACTTCCATTACCTATTTCTCCTGGATACTCTTTCCTCTCTCCATTTTTACAACACTACTCTTTCCTGCTTCTCCTCCTACCTGTCTGACCACTGTTACTCAATCTGTTCTGCTAATTCTTCATCCAGGTCACATCTCACCATAGATGTCCCCAAAGACTGTTCTGGGCCCTCTTATCTCTCTATACCATCTCACTTGGTAATCTTATCAACTTCCAATGATCATTTCTATATGGATAATTCCTAGATTTATATATTCATCCCTAACCTCTCTCCTGAGTTCCAGTTTGTTTTATTTTTAAATAATATTTTATTTTTCTCAATTACATGTAGAGACAATTTTTAACATTTATTTTTTTTATTTTGAGTTCCAAATTTTTACCCTCTCTCCTTCACCTCCTTCCTCCCTGAGATGGTAAGCAATTTGATATAGGTTATTCATATGCAATCATGCAAAACATATTTCAATATTAGTCATGTTATGAAAGAAGATACAGACCAAAAGAAAAAAAACATGAAAAAAAGGTTAAAAATAGGATGCTTCCATATGTATTCAGAATCCATCAATTCTTTCTCCAGATGTGGATAACGTTTTTCATCATGAGTCCTTTGGAATTGTCTTGGATCATTGCATTGCTGAGAATAGCTGTCATTCACAGTTGATCATCATACAAGATTGCTGTTACTGTATATAATGTTCTCCTGGTTCTGCTCACTTCACTTTGTATCAGTTCGTGTAAGTCTTTCCAGGTTTTTCTGAAATCAGCCTGCTCATCATTTCTTATATAGCACAATAATATAGCATATATAATAAATAGTAACCATATAGCACAATCATATACCACAACTTGTTCAGCCATTCCCAATTGATGGGCAACCCCTCAATTTCCAATTCTTTGCCACCACAAAAAGAGTTACTATAAATATTTTTGTACAAATAGGTCCTTTTCCCCCCTCCCTTTTTTGGATCTCTTTAGGATATAGATCTAGTAGTGGTATTGCTGGATCAAAGGGTATGCATAGTTTTCTAGCCCTTTGAACATGGTTCCAAATTGCTCTCTAGAATAGTTGGATCAACTCACACTGAGTTCCAGTTTCAAATTACCAGCTGCATACTAGACATCTCAAACTGGATGTTCCATATGTACCACAAACACATGCCCAAAGCTGGACTTATTACCTTTCCTCCCAAACTCTCCCCTCTTCCTAACTTCCCTATTATTGTCCAGAGTACTCAATGACTTCTCAGTCACTGAGGTTTATGATCTAGGTGTCATTTTCAACTCCCCTGTTGTACTCACTTTACAAATCCAGTCTGTTGACAAGTCTTGAAAATTTTAGCTTCCCATTATCTCTCTTACACATTCACTTTGCTCCACTCACCCTGTCATCATTCTACTGCAGGCTTTACTGGGGCAGGTAGGTGGTGCAGTGGATAGAGTCAGGAGCCCTGAAGTCAGGAGGTCCTCAGCTCAAATCCAGCCTCAGACACATTTACTAGCTGTGTGACCCTGGGTAAGTCACTTAACCCCAACTGTCTCACCAAAAAAAAGGCACAGATTCTTAAATTCTTAAAATCTGGCCCGCTTGTATTGGAGTTACAAATACTGCAGACTCACTAGGAATCTTGTCCACTCAATCAGGGTCAATAAACTCGACATTGGACTGAAAGAAGGCTTGAGTGGTCAAATTCTTTTGAGGCAGACTCTCACCCTGTACCCTTGCATTTTGGTGTTCCTAGCACCCCTGGACCACAACATATTTTGGTTCCCTGACCAGGAAAACTGCCTCATCTCCTCAAGCTCTTCTCCAGCCAAGATCAGAAGGTATGTAACCCTTCTCTCTCTCTCTCTCTCTCTCTCTCTCTCTCTCTCTCTCTCTCTCTCTCTCTCTCTCTCTCTCTCTCCCTCTCTCACTCTGCAGTTGGGGGGTCACTCTCCAAGCACCTGGGAAGGATTGGAAGTGCTTTTCAGTCCTGACACTCTCAGGTTCAATTTGGATCAGACAGTTACAAGGCCATCTCGAACCTGGACACACCTTCTGTAGAATGGGGGATGCCCCATCTAGAAATGTATGCCTAATTCTCATGCCTGTTCTACTGCAATAGGCTTTCTGAATGGTATCTCTGTGTCAAGTCTTTCCCCACTCAGAGGACAAAAATGATGTTCCTTAAAACTCAGGTCTGAGCATGTCACTCCCCTACTCTATAACCTCTAGTAGTTCCCTATTACTTCCAGAATGAATTATAAAACCCTCTGTTTGACTTTAAAGCCTTTTCACAACCTGGCCCTTCTGTGCCTTTCCAGCCTTCTTACACTTTAGTCCTTTCCTTTAACCCTACAATGCAGCAATAACAACCCTGTTCCTCCATCTACTGATTCCTTGCCCATTCACTGGATGTCTCCCATGCCCATAATGTTCTTCCTCTTCACCTTTGCCTCCTGGCTTCCTTCCAGACTCAGCTTAAATTTCACTTTCTTCAAGAGGCTTTTTCCATTCTTCTCCATGACCCCACTAATCCCCCTTATGGGATTGACCTCCCTTAGATGATTTCCAATACTGCTAATGCCTTCCCTCAGAGAGTACCATCCATTTCTCTCTCTGTCTCTATCTCTCTCTCTGTCTCTCTTTGTCTCTCTCTCTTTCTCTCTCTCTCTCTCTCTCTCTCTCTCTCTCACACACACACACACACACACACACATTTGCATGTTGTCACCTGCATTACAATGTGAGCTCCTGGAGGTCTGGGACTGTTTTTTTTAACTTTCTTTATATTCCCAGTGCTTAGCACAGTCCTTGGCACATAGTAAGTGCTTAATAAATGTTTATTGATTGATAGAGAGTCAATGTAGAGGACAGAGCACTAGAGCTGGAGTCAAAGGGATCTGGGTTCAAATCTTCTGTTTCTTGCTAGGTATACTTAACTTTGGACAAGAAATTTAAGTCTCTCTAGGTTTTGGTTTCCCTCCCCTGAAGCTAAATCATGGGGTTGATCTCCCTTGGATGACTTGAAAGCTTTCTTGCAGCTCTAAATCCATAACTAAGTGTCTGTAGGACCCAGCTCTGCCACAAATTAGATGTGTGACCCTAGACAAGTCATGTCATTTCTCCTGGCCTCAGTATCCCCAGGTTTTAAATTAACTGGGGGAGGGGTGGACAGGATGATTCCCTAAGATCTTATCCAGTTCTAACATTCTATTTTTAAGGTTCTGTTCCTTTTTGCACTCCCCCCTCTCCCCCACCCCCTCCTTCCCTCCCCCCATTACATTTTGTTGAAAGGAAAAAGAATTCAGATGAAAGCATTTTAATAAAAAAAAAATCAAGGTGATATTCTCCTTGCAGATATATCAGGTGACATCAATCTCCTCGCAGATATATCAGTCCCTAGTAAGTGTCAAGGTGAAATGGAATAGACTGTGTTATCAGGAAGTAAGGAATCTGGCCCCTTTTTCAACCAGACTAGCCAGCTTGCAGGGCCTAGTAGGGTGGGACGTACAAGCTAGCACGTACTCTTTTTGGCAATTGCCTTCAGAGCTCATCTGCAGCCAATTCAATTCTTTTTCCTTTCCCATTAGCAGGCACTAGGGCTGATGTCATTGATCACTCTGGCTCTCCAACTAACTTCAAAGAGATGCTTTTGCTTCCATTTTCAAAGTCCCAAAAAAGAGATCTAGGACAAAAGGTATAAATCCAGTCCTGACTCTGCCACCGGTTCCCTAAATGACCTCTGATGCTTCAATTCAACAAACACTTAAGTACCTCCTATGTCTCTATTCCAAATAAGTCACCTTTCCTCCTGGTCTTATGAAGGACTAGAAGTCCATCTTTGAGATCCCTTCTGGCTCTAACGCTCTGTGATTCTAATTAGATATGAGAATCTTCTGTTACTAAGGGGTTCAATCACTCATCTTGGGATTAGCAGATCTATTCCAACTCTGGTTAACAGACAACAAAAGAAATGTCCTTGGTTCAAAGAAAAAAAAAAGCAACATGCCAGTCCCCTTCATCCAAGATGTACTGCTAAACCACCACAGCACTGTCACAGAGAAGTGAAAATCAAACGTAACTTTAACTATCATACACAGAAATAAACCAAAGTAGAAGATAGCAAGGAAAAGGAATCCTTCTACCTATCCTTCTATAAAGCCTTTTGATACTATGTACCTTGTAATGGTACAGGGTTCCAAGAAATAAGTGCTGTATTTTCCTAAATTCTCTCAAAATATGTACTCACCTGCCCTTCTTAGCCACTTCCTGTATTTCTCTTCCTTGCCAGTGGACTCTGCCTTCAGTGGCCAACACCCATCCCCACCACAAAAGGAAGAGGCCAGATTTCATTTTGGGGATAGTATTCAGGGGTTCCAGAGCCTACCAGAGCTTTTCTCGGGGAAAAACAGGCAAAAGAAAAAGTAGATTCTTTTTCTCTCAAGAAGTTATTGGTCTGTTCATCATTAGAAGGGTGTTTACTCGTGCCAAAAAAAAAATCCGCCCAGAGTATGTAATCTGGATAGCGGGAGAAAGCAATTTCCACTAAACCTATAAATCCCTCTACGTCAGATGTCAGGGATTTTCTGAACAGGGTCGGTGGGGGTAGGAGGTTGTAGGAGGAAGCAGAGGAGAGGGAGAGAGGTTGAATTCCCATGTGCCTGTCAAGCCATTATTTTGGTTGAAATAAACTGATGATTAAATTGGTTCAAAGCCCAATATTGGAAATACACTAGTAAAAGGCAAATATTCTCCAGTCTTATGATCAGGGGGAATTCTAAATAGACCAAAGAAATCTCCAAGAGTCCTTGATGCTAATTGTTTGGGAGTAACATAGTATCATCCAGAAATGCTTCTTGAATCAGAAATAAGTAAGCCTTTCAGGCACTAGTGTGTTGCCTTTTTCCAGAAGATTGTCTTTTAGTCGTTTCCTCCTCCTATGAAGTACCTTAACTATCCTTGACAATTTTATAATGATTATCCATTGAACATCACTGCTTTCAATCTATTTTAAATAGGGGTATGATTAATAGGGCAGGGGCCTCAACAACAGCCAGAACAAAAGGCATTTGAAAAAGAAATGGCAATGGGTCATGTGACTTGATTGAGGCAACAACTTTATGTTGCTAAAAGGTTAAACTTCTGAAATTCAAAACTTATCTGTCAAAAAAAAAAAAACAAACAAAAAGGAGCCCCCCAGTGACTGTCAGAATTAGCATAGAGCTAAGGAGAAGGTAAGGTATGAGTCCAACTCCATAGCTTCATGAAGGCATATCTTCAGGAAAAAGGGATGAGTCTACCTCCAAATTCCAGCAAAAGCTAGAGGACAAGTTATATAGTATCACAAATAAGAGTGAACCAATAGAGCACAAGAGCTTTACATGGTATTTTGTTTTCTGAACGCCCTACCCCCCATTATCAAACACATATACACACACCTCAGTCAATAGAATGTAAGCTCCTAGAAGATAGGGCCTATTCCATTTTTTTTCCCTTTGCTATCATCAGCCCATAGCACAGTGCCAGGCAGGAAGTAGATGCTTAACCAACGCTTATTGAATGACTAAAATTTATGTTAGCAAATGAGAGGATTAGAGAGTTAAAACTAGAAGGAAGGTCATCTAGTTTCATTCTCAACCTGGCCTCTTCCTACCTTTCCAGACTTCTTACATCTTATTCTCCTCTACAGTCTGCCATCCAGTGATACTGGCCTCTTTGCTATTCCTTTCACAAGACATTCCATCTCTCAACTCCATGCTGTTTCACTGGCTTCCCAACCACCCATGTCTGGAATGCTCTTCCTCCTAGTCACTACTTCATAGCTTCCTTCAAGTCTCAATTAAAATTCCACTTTCTTTTTAAAAAAATTTTTAAAATTAATTTATTTTTAGTTTTCAACAATCATTTCCATAAGCTTTTGAGTTTTAAATTTTTCTCCCCTTCCCTCCCCTCGCTCCTCAAGATGGTGTGCAATCTGATGTAGGCTGTACATATATATTCCTATTAAACATATTTTCATATTAGTCATGTTGTAAGGAAGAATTAGAACCAACAGGAAGAGCCACAAGAAAGAGGAAATAAAACAAAACAGAAGAAAATAAAAGAGCAAATAGTATTCAAACTCCATAGTTCTTTCTCTGAATGTGGATAGCATTTTCCATCATGAGACTTTTGGAAATGTCTTAGATCCTTGCATTGCTAAGAAAGGCTAAGCCTATCAAAGTTAGTTATCGAACAACATGGCTGTTCCTGTGTACAATGTTCTCCTGGTTCTGCTTACTTCGCTCAGCATCAGTCCATATAAGTCTTTCCAGGTTTTTCTGAAGTCCTCCTGCTCGTCGTTTCTTATAGCACAATAGTATTCCACTACTACCACATACAGCAACTTGTTCAGCCATTCCCCAATTGATGGGCATCCCCTCAATTTCCAATTCTTTGCCACCACAGAAAGAGCTGCTATAAATATTTTTGTACATGTGGGTCCTTTTCCCATTTTTGTGATTTCTTTGGGATACAGCCCTAGAAGTGCTATTGCTGGGTCAAAGACTATGCACAATTTTATACCCCTTTGGGCATAGTTCCAAATTGCTCTCCAAAATGGTTGGTCACAACTCCACCAACAATGCGTTAGTGATCCAATTTTCCCACATCTTCTCCAGCATTTATCATTTTCCTGTTTTGTCACATTGGTCAATCTGATAGGTGTGATGTGGTACCTCAGAGTTGTTTTGATTTGCATTTCTCTGATCAATAGTGATTTAGAGCATTTTTTCATATGACTATAGATGGTTTTAATTTCTTTATTTGAGAACTGCCTGTTCGTATCCTTTGACCATTTATCAACTGGGGAATGACTTGTATTCTTATAAATTAGACTTAGTTCTCTATATATTTTAGAAATGAGACCCTTATCAGAGATACTGGTTGTAAAAATTCTTTCCCAGTTTTCTGCTTCCTTCCTAATCTTGGTTGCATTGGCTTTGTTTGTGCAAAAAACTTTTCAATTTAATATGGTCAAAATTATCCATTTTGCATTTCATAATGTATTCTATCTCCTGTTTGGTCATAAATTCTTCTGTTCTCTATAAATCTGAGAAGTAAACTAATTCCTTGCTCTTCCAGTTTGCTTATAGTATCAGCCTTTATATCTAAATCATGAACACATTTTGACTTTATTTTGGTATATGGTGTGAGATTTTGGTGTATTCCTGGTTTCTGTCACACTCTTTTCCAGTTTTCTCAGCAGTTTTTGTCAAATAGTGAGCTGTTATCCCAGAATCTGAGTTCTTTGGGTTTATCAAATAGTAGATTATTGTAGTCATTGACTACTGTATCTTGCATACCTAATCTATTGCACTCATCCACCACTCTATTTCTTAGTCAGTATCAAGTAGTTTGATGATTGCTGCTTTATAATACAGATTAAGATCTGGTATGGCTAGGCCATGTTTCCCTGCATTTCTTTTCATTAGTTCCCTTGATATTCTGGACCTTTTGTTATTCCAAATGAATCTTGTTATTGTTTTTTCTAGCTCTATAAAATAATTTTTGGTAGTTTGATTGTAATATTATATTACATAAGTAAATTAGCATAGGTAGAATTGTCATTTTTATTATATTAGCTTGGCCTATCCATGAGCAACTGATGTTTTTCCAATTATTTAGATCTGATTTTATTTGTGTGAAAATTGTTTTGTAATTGTGTTCATATAGTTCCTGGGTTTGTTTTGGGAGTAGACTCCTAAGTATTTTATAATGTCTACAGTAACTTTAAATGGAATTTCTCTTTCTATCTCTTGCTGTTGGGCTTTGTTGGTGATATATAGGAATGTCAATGATTTATATGGGTTTATTTTATAGCCTGCAACTTTGCTAAAGTTGTTTATTATTTCAAGTAGTTTTTTACTTGATTCTCTAGGATTCTCTAAGTGTATCATCATATCATCTGCAAAGAGCAATAGCTGTGTTTCTTCTTTGGCTGTTCTAATACCTTCAATTTCTTTTTCTTCTCTTATTGCTAAAGCTAACGTTTCCAGTACCACATTGAACAACAGCAGTGATAATGGACATCCTTGTTTCACTCCCGATTTATTGGAAATGCTTCTAGCTTATCCCTATTACATATGATGCTTGCTGAAGGTTTTAGGTAGATGCTACTTATTATTTTAAGGAAGACTCCATTTATTCCTATGCTCTTTAATGTTTTTAATAGGAATGGGTGTTGTATTTTGTCAAAAGCTTTTTCTGCATCTATTGAGATGATCATGTGGTTTTTGTTAGTTTTGGTATTGATACGATCAATTATGTTGATAGTTTTCCTAATATTGAACAAGCCCTGCATTCCTGGTATAAATCCTACCTGGTCATAGTGTATTGTTCTTATGATAAGTTGCTGTAATCTATTTGCTAATATTTTATTTAAAATTTTTACATTGATATTCATTAGGGGAATTGGTCTATAATTTTCTTTCTCTGTTTTGGCTCTTCCCAGTTTAGGTTTCAGCATCATATTTGTATCATAAAAATAATTTGGTAAGACTCCTTCTTTTCCTATTTCCCCAAATAGTCTATGTAGTATTGGAATTAACTGTTCTTTAAATGTTTGATAGACTTTGTTTGTAAATCCATCTGGCCCTGGAGATTTTTTCCTAGGAGTTCATTGTTGGCTTGTTCAATTTCTTTTCCTGAGATGGGGTTAAGTATAAAATTCCACTTTTGACAAGAAGTCTTTTCCATTTCTCCCTAATGTTATCACCTCTGCTCTGAGCTTACCTCTAATTTATCCTGAATATATCCTGTTTGTACATAGTTCTTTACATGTTGTCTCTCCAGTGAGATTTCGAGCTCCATGACAACAGGAACTATTTTTGCCTTTCTTTGTATCCCCAGCATACCTGGCATGTACTAAGCACATAATAAATACTTGTTCATTTGATTAGTCCTAGGGCTTTTAATATTTGTCTCATGAAGCCCTTTGGCAGTCATGTGAAGCCTATGAAACCTTTCTCACAACTATCCATAGGTCTGTGGACCCTAGGTTAAGAACTCCTGGTTCAGTTCAATCCCTTAATGTAAGTCCAAAGAAGTTAACAGACTTGTCCAAAGCCACATATCTAGTAAGTAGCAGAGTAGAATTTGAACCCAGGTCTTCTGACCCCTAGCTCCAATTCTCTTTCCACTGTACTAGGCCACATTTTTTCTTCTGGTAGGACTGAAGACAAACCTTTAAAAAGTTAATACTAACTTTAAATGGGTTAAACTCTCCAATTAAATGAAATATTCTCAGAATACATTTGAAAGTTTAAAAAGAATCCAATATATTTGCTGAAAGCACATTTAATAAATATTTGAGCCTATTCTAAGTGAAAA